TGATGAAAGGGTGATGGTGATATTGATGCTGGTGCTGACTAGGATGTTGATAATGACGATGTTGGTTATGATGATGTTGATGATTGTGATGATGATGGTCATGGTCATGATCATGGTCATGGTGATGGTGATGGTGATGATGATGTTGGTGGTGGAGGTGGTGATGGTGATGGTGATGGTGATGGTGATGATGACGATGGTGATGATGATGTTGGCGATGCTGATGGTGACGATGATGACGATGACAATCACGATGCTGATGATGATGACGATGACGACGATGACGATGATGAAGACGATCACGATAACGATTACCATAGTGGTCACGATAGTGGTGATGGTGATAATGATGCTACTGATGCTGGTGATGCTGATTATGTTGATGTCGATGGTGGTGGTGATGATGCTGTTGTTGGTGGTGATGTGTTTGGTGAAGATGATGATGGTGATGATGGTGATGATGGCAATGACGATGATGTTGACTATGATGATGATGGCACTGGTGATGATGATGATGATGATGATGATGATGATGATGATGATGATGATGATGATGATGATGATGATGAGGATGAGGATGAGGATGAGGATGAGGATGAGGATGAGGATGAGGATGAGGATGAGGATGATGATGCTGATGATAAAGTGAGGAGAAAGAGGAGGATGACGATTCTGATGAAGAGGATACAGCAGGAGGAGGAGGGCCGTTACATGTGACACCTTTCGTCATCACATCTTGATGAGTCCTACTGGACCTCATTTGGGCAGTCTCGGAGCCTCCCTTGAGCGTCTTGGGTTCGTGCTCCCCCTCTCGTGCCCTTCTTGGGGCCGTCTTGGGCCGTCTTCGGCGCCTTTGGGGTTTTCGTGGGGCCCTTTGGGCCCTCTTGGGGCCCTCGTGGGTGCCCCTTCGGATGTGTTGGGGCGCTATTGGGTGCATCTTGGTCCGTCTTGGAGCGTCGGAAGCTCGAAAAGGCGAGAACCACGGAGCAATTGAGAAATTTTTGGGAATATGAGGTCTGCCTCTTGAAATCCTATTGGGGACCCCTTTTGGTCCTCTTGGGCTTGCTGGGGCCCTCTTGGGGTGGAAGGCTTGCCTCTCGAGGCCCTCTTGGGAAGGCTCCTTGGGCTCTCTTGGGACGTCTCGAAGGCCTCTTGGGCCGCCTTGAGGCCATCTTGGGCCGTCTTGAAGCCAACGTGGGCAGTCTTGGAGCCATATCGGGCCGTCTTGGAGGCATCTCGGCTTCGGGACCGCGAATTCGTTTCGCAGTTTGCGAGGGATTGCGGCCTCGGGCGAGGGGCGATGCACGCAGGCCCAGCGTGACGAGGGCGGGGAAGTGGCGGGCGAGAAGACCACAGCAACCCCACCAGGCAGCACTTGGCATTCTGGCACGCCCCAACGTGCCCGGGGGAACGGTGGCGGATTTATTATTTAAAAAGATGCAGGAGGAGGAGGAGGACATGGAAGGCCGTCACATGTGGCACCCAGTGTCTACATGTTGTTGAGGAGCCCTAGTTTTCCCCAATCGGTGCTTGCACTGAAGGGGTCCTAGCGGAAGTTGACGGATTTGGCGAAAGTTTCCCGCCGATTCTGGCAGCAGGCTGGGTTCCCGTTTTCCCGGTTCCAGGTTCCCGGGTTCCCAGTTACTGGTTTCGAGCCGATTTCGGTGGGTTCTGCGTTCCTGGGCTCCCGGGTTCCCGGTCGATCTCCTCAGCGAAAACCATCCACCGATTGTTTTTTTCTTTGGAGTCATATCAGAAACAGGGATGCAGGAGGAGGAGGAGGAGGAGGAGGAGGAGGAGGAGGAGGAGAAGAGGAAGGCTGGCCGTCACATGTGGCACCCAGTGTCTACATTTTGTCGAGGAGCTCTAGTGGGGCTTAACTTGGCCGTCTTGGGGCTGTCCTGGGCCACCGTGGGGCAGTCTTGGGGGGTCCCTCGGGCTCGTCTTGAGGCCCTCCTGGGCCGTCCCGGGGCCCTCCTGGCGGTATGGGGAGTGGTTGGGGGCTGTTGTGCGGGCGTCTTGGGCCTTATGCGGCCGCCGTGGGCTTCTCAAGAGGCCTTCTTCGGGCCATCTTGGAGACCTCGTGGGGCCATCGCCGGGTCCTCTTGGGCCGTCCTGGGACTCGCTTCGGGACCTCTTGGGCCGCCGTGGGCCATCTTGCCTGGAGGCGTTTTGGGCCGTCTTGAGCTGACGGAGGCCCGGGAAGGCGAGGATGCGAACGAGTTGAGTTCGGTTTCCTCGGGCCTTGCATGGTGGTCCTCTTGTGGCTCACTTGGCCGCTCTTGGAGCCACCTTGGGCCGTCCTGAGACCATCTCTTGGGCCACCTGGGGACAAGGTCGGGCCGTCTCGGAGGCTCGGGCCGAACGAAAGGGGGGGATAGGGAAAGGGGGGGTACGAAATCTGCTGCATGCAGCTGGTTTCGGCCCCGCCGCCGGGGCCATTTCTTGATACATGGGCGCCTCCCGGCGCCGGGAGGCGCCGGGAAAGTCAGCTGCGTAAGCTGATTCTCCAACCCTCCCTTTGCTAGCCCCCCCTTTTCGCCCGGCCCGAGAGGCACCCTGGGCCAGCTCGGCGGCCCTGGTTGCACGCCTGGGCCGTCTTGGAGGCTCGGGCGCGCGGGCCCGCCGCTCCCGCGAGGGGTCGGGGAGAGGGAGGGGGGTGCACGCACGCAGCGGTCGGCGGGCAGAGGGGGGGATGGGGCCCATCGGAAGCCCCACCGTGGGGGGCCCATGCCACGGAACACCCTGCTCGCCGTAAGTCCGGCCTGTCCCTCCGCGGGAGGAGAATTAAATAATAGTCAAAGAATACGGGGACGATTTTATGGACTATGTTTGATGGTTGATTTTGATGAATATATTGGGAGTGTGTTTGATTTGTCATCCTAAATCCGCCTGTAGGGGTACATGCACGACCTAATGCTCGCGCCCAGGGTGCCCTGGGTTTCTTGGGTTTCGATGTTCTATTGCCATGGAAAGCGTGACGTTCCCACACCAAAAACCGATGGACGTCCTGGGGTCTCAGGGTTGGGTTTCTTGTGGAAGGTTTCTTGGGGACTGGCATCCACTATACCACTCAGATCTTGGCAGCCTTCCACGCCTCAACGTGCCAGGGGGGGCACGGTGGCGATGTGTAGCTTGTTGAGGCTCTCTCGCGGGCCTCTGGGAGGCGTCCAGCGGGGCAGAGGACTCGCCCTCGTTCTCTTCGTCCTCGTCCTTGTGCTTCTCTTCCTGCTCGTTGTCCTCATGCTTCTCCTCGCTATCCTCACGTTTGCCATGTCGTCCTCGTCATCGACTCCTCGTTGCCCTCGCCTTCTGTTCTCCTTCGCCCAATGCGCTCATTAGACTAAAGCGGCGCTTCCCGTTTTTGTTCGATCTGGTTTGTAGCCTGTTGGGGCTCTCTCGCGGGCCTCCTTGGAGGCGTCTAGCGGGGCAGATCGGGACCCAGCTGAGGGCCGTGGGGCCGTCTCGGACGCGGTGACTCTAGCAGAGGCCGTCTCGGCTCGAAGTACATCCTGTACCCTCCATGACTTGAGAGCGTCTGCCTCACGCACCGCCCTGCACCCACGTCACCGGGTGGCGGCTGTGCGCAGACAGAGGCAACATTGACGGTCGGTGTCGGTCCCCCGTGAGCGGCGACGTCGCAACTGGGGAGCCAGATTCTACCCATCCCACACGGGTTCGGAGCAGACGGGGTCGAAGGACCTCGCCGCATCGCCGACGCATCTCCGATGCGTTGGCGATGCAGCCCGATGTGGAGCCCGATGTTCTCCACGCCGACGTCGGCGATGCATCGCTGGCGTCTAGCGGGTGCCTCGCCCGTGCATCGGCGATGCATCGCGGATGCGGCTCGATCCTCCGACCCCACCTGGGTCGGTGGAGCGTAAGACCCGGGTTTGCCAGGACTCGGGTTCGCCATCGTTTTCTGACGACCGCGACTCGGAGTTACGGAGTTTGACGAGTAGGAGTTTCGTGGGATGTCTGCAGCGGGAGGCCTCGTCAAAATGCAGGCTCGGCCTCGTCATTTTTGTTGACGACCTCGTCGGGGATTTCAGAGTCCCCTGTACCCGGGTCTTCCGCCCCCCTGACTGGGAGGCTGGTGCAGATGCAGGCAGGGGGCACCAGGCAGGGAGCACCTCGCAGGAGCGCGTCGTCGAGGCCGTCGTGCTCCGCGGGCTGGGCCCAGAGGGCCGCTCTCTTCTCCAAGGGGGGGAGGGTCCTCCTCCCTCCTCCTCCTCCTCCTCCTCCTCCTCCTCCTCCTCCTCCTCCTCCTCCTCCTCGGGGCGGCGCGAGAGCGCGAAGGTATTACCCGCGCCCCTTTCTGCTTCTCGAGGCGACGCAAACGTGGACGAAGGTCAAGTCGGGCATGCCCCTCGACAGGAGGAGTGTCCAAGAACTGTGAGGGGTCGTGTGGGGACGGTTCGTCGTGCTCTTTCGACTACGTTGGATTATGTGTTTATTATGGTTGATTCTGTGCTTACTAGGTTTTTTTTTGGTTTCCAGAATCCGCCTGTAGGAGCACATGCCCAGCCTAAGGTTAAGGCGCGCGGATAAACGGTGGGCCTCGTTCCCATACCAAAACTAATGCGGTCCGGCGTTCGATCAGGCGGCACTGTCCCCCGATACTTGGACCCAGTGCCCACGCGCCAGATCCACGGATCCGTAACCCACGTCAGCGTGTGTCCGAGCACCGTGACCTAGAACCAAGAACGCATAAGAATCCGGCCCCCAGAAGCCACTGGCTGGGGGAGGTGCAATGGTCGGGCGGGGCTTGGACCAGGAATAAAAATGTCTAGAGCATTTCAGATCGCTCTCAGAACGTTCCAGAGCGCTCTGGAACGGACGCGGCGCCCGATATATTCCCCAGGACCGCGGGCTCTCAAAGATCCCCGATTTATGTGTCCTGGTTGGAATTTTCCCAGCCTTGGCCTCATCTTGACTCGCTTCGCTCTTCAGTGTGCCCGTTGATGGGGGACATGGCACCGATCGCGCTCGCGGCAGCTATGGGCAGACCAGTCCTTGCGCTAGTCTTCGCGGCGTGCTTTGCGTGTCCTGCGACTGGCATCCAGATGCAAGTGCTCCTCGACAGCCTGGTGGTGGTGCCGCAGGCGCTGAACGCAACGCTCTCCCCCTCGCAGGAGCAGCTGGCCGAGGCCAAGCAACATTATACGTTAAAGTAACTTCATAAAAGTCACAAGTCAGAGTGTATAGTATATAACATCCAGCTGGTCAAAAAAGGAGCTGCTGACCGAGGTGCACAACGATGTCGGGGCGGTGATCCTCGACACGCCCGACGGCTCCGGGGAGGATGAGAGGATGATGCTCAGCTCCGCCGGCGCGGCCGACAAGCAGCGCGCGGTGAATCAGCATGAAAAAAATGGGTTCTGCCAAGCTATCAGAACGTGTGTTCCCCCAGCCGTTGTGAAAAGCCTCAGGGGAACACTTGGGGAAGGATGACGGGGAAGATCAGGAGGAGGAGGAGGAGGAGGGGGAGGAGGAGGAGGAGGAGGAGAAGGAGAAAAAAGAGGAGGAGACGGAGGAGAGGGCATCTTGGGAGCCTCTGGTGGCCTTCTTGGGACCTGCTGGGAGGTTCCTCCGGGCCTCTGGAGTCATCTTGGGGGCGTCCTTGGGCGTCTTTGGGCCATTTGGGGGCTTCTCCGGGGCCTCTTTGGCAGTCTTACGTAGACCATTCGTGAATCGACTGGCCTCAACGGCAGCGGTTTTAGGTGGCCTCTCTAGGCTGACTTGGGGCCCTCTTCGGGTGCTCCAGGGCCGTCTTAGATGCCATATTGGGCAGCTTGGAGGCCTCTGGGGCTGTCTTGGAGCCCTCTTGGGGCCGTCGTGAGGGTCGCTTGGGGCCGTCTTGGGGCCATCTTGGAGGCCTCTTGGGCTGTCTTGGAGCCATGGAGGAAAGGTCCTGGCTTTTTTGTTCGCTGTATCCGCGCGGGCGCTCCCCCGGCCCAAGGACCGTCCAGAAGCTGGCTGTGATGAAGAAGTTGTCCCGATAAAAGTTGCGGGGACCTAGCCTAGTCACCAACGGAACCTTTTTTCAGACATACGACCATGTGATTTTTCCATGCGCGGCCCTGGAGGTCCCGACCCGTTCCCCAGTGGTATGTCCTTCTTCCCGGATCCATGTTCGATAATTCTGGGGCCCAGTAGCGGGCCCCAATGGCCGAAATTTAGAAAGAACGCCAGGATTGAATAACATTAGACTGACGGAGATTGGGGTTTTCCGCCACGGCAAGGTGAAGGAGCATTCCCAGGGTGAGGGCCAGGACAACAAGGACAAGAAACACTCCGAGGCGACCAGGAACGAGAACGAGGAGCTTGACGCAACACCTTCTGCCGCTTTCACATGTCTGGGCAGCCAACTCCCGCTCCCGCACCTCCTCGTCCTCCACCCCGTCCGCCTCGTCTTCCTCCTCCTGAGCCTGCTCTTGCGCAGAGCGGCTCCTTTGCACTGCTTCCGAGGTACTCGTGGCGATATCGGCACAGCGAGCGAATGCCCAAAGCGATTCAACTGGACAGCAACATCAACAACATCTTTAGTATTGTTCGCACTCACCTGCTCGCGTGTCAGTCAACACGTATGTCCCAAACCATCGATACCCGCTCTCTTAAGCTTCGTTCGTACACTCTGGGTATCGATCTTCCTTACCTGACGCGTGTGATTGGTGCAGCCCCTCGAACTTCGTAAATCGTGAAGAGGCTTGTGGAGGACGATCGATGGAGAGGAAGCGTGTTGCCAAATGAGTTCCAGATATCTGAAGCATGTGTTGAGCATGTTTTAAGCACGCAGAAACACATGTTTGAAACATGTGTAGCACATCTTTTCCGACATTCTAAACACAGTTCAAATTGGATGATAGAACCGTTAGGGTGTCCATTGTCGTGGCATCCACAGAGCTGGCGGACCTTGACGGGCGGTTCAGGCAGGCGGGCGGGCCCTGACAGGGGGCGGGTCATGGAAGCGAACTTCATGTATTGTGAAGACGCCCCAGGCGGGATTGCGAGTCCTGGGTCAATCGTGAGGAGATCCCGTGCGAGAGCGCGATTCTGAGACGTCGTGGGAGCGGCGTTGAAAGAACTTGCACTGGGGGCCCGGGCGAGAGCACCATTCTTGAGTAAGTTGCGAGGAAGTGTCCGGTGGAATCGCGGAATCGGGCGCTGTTGCAAGCCAGGGGCCAACAACCCAGTCTGAGGTTTCAGATTTCTCCTATAAGCCAGGATGTGGTCCCCAGCGGGCACTTCAATCCAAAACACCATGGGCTTTGCGGGGGGGGGGGCATCCACAACAAGTATCCATCGTAAGTGAGAGCTCAGCAGCAAAAGCAAAACAACGAGGAGCAGAGCGAGAAGAAGCGGCGAGAGCACAAGCTCATGCTGGGCGCGCTCTCGACGCTCATCGTCTGCGCCGCCTCGCCGGTGCTGTTTTCGCAGGGCTGGCTCCCCTTTGCCGCGACCCTCGCCTACATCGTCAGCTTGGTGGCGGTAAAGCTGTGCGTCAAGGAAATCGGGCAAGGCAACGCGGCGACGGGGACGAGCCAGTCAGGCCCACCGCCATTGGGGGCCAGTGGCGACGAGCTGGCCAGACTGCCACCGGAGCTCAGTTACCTTAGAAGATCAGCACGAACCCTTAAGTTCATGCACTGCTTGGTGAGTTTTAGAGGCGCAAGTACTACACGCACTTGCACCTGAAACACAAGCGATACACGCACTACACTTCAGAGCCTCGACCTCCTCCTCGCCCTCCCTGCCCCCCCCCTCCTCGCCGATCTTGTCCGCGTGATCCTGCTCGTGTCGAGCTCGTCGTCTTCATCCTCCTCCGCCTTGTGCTTCTCTTTCGTTCTGGCACTGCTTCACACTCGCGGGGTGGCTTTGCCCCATGAGGAGCAAAGTGTGTTTCACAGTCGTGTGGTTGCCATGT